TCCCCTCCCTCTCAGAGAAAAGGCCGTCCCTTGTCGCATTGCTTTCCTTTATAGAGAATAAAGGGACTTATATTGGTAATGGGTGTCCTCGGTCATTCCTTTTGGTGATTCAGCACCTGAACCCCTTTCTGTGTTTAGGAAACGCCCTCTCCTCGCTCTAGGAGTCTTGGGGGAGGAAATTGAGAACACCCTGTGCTTTCCCAGGCTCCCAGAATGGCCTTGGCTTCGCCTGGAACTAGCTGAGGCCCCGCCTGAGCAGGAGCTGCAGAGAGACTCCTAGACCCTGAGAACAGCTCCCTCTTTGGAGCAGGAAGTTCTCAGATGTGTGCCCTGCAAGGTGCTGTACAGATTTCCGGGAGCTCTAGGCTCGCTCTGCAGGAGTGACTTCTGGGACCTCACCAGGGCACCACCAGCCTGGGAGCCCCGCGTTAGCCACACTCAGGAGGAGGAGCGTTGGGAAGCTCTCACTACAACTGCTGGTCCTAGGGCGTGGACCTCTCTCTGCGATGCCGCCAGAAAGGTCAGAGGCAGCAGAAGCATGGCCTCTGCCTCACAACCACCTTACAAGCCTCTCTCAGGTACCTCTGAGAGGGGAGCCTGAGTGCCCCTGGAACTCTAGCTGCAAGGGAGTCTGGGGATCATTGTTTTTAGCTTTCAAGCCTCTTTGGTATAGAACGCCAACGAGAAGGAAAGCGGTTTTGCATGGAGATCCAGTGTACCGTATCGCAAGCCTGAGGAGTCGGTGAGACCCAGTTTCACAGAGTCCCAGGCGCAGTTGTAAATGTCTGCTGAGTCCCAGAGAACAAGAGTCAAATTTCTTATGTCTGTGGGGATTTGAGTTTGTACTCATTAAAAACGCATAATTGTCCTGATTAAAATCCTTCAGTGTCCCCCCCTCAAAAGAAAAGAAAGAAAGAAAGAGAGAGAGAGAGAGAGAGAGAGAGAGAGAGAGAGAGAGAGAAAGAAAGGAAAGAAAGAAAGAAAGAAAGAAAGAAAGAAAGAAAGAAAGAAAGAAAGGAAAGAAAGAAACAGAAAGAAAGAAACAACACACTTACACCCTTAGCACTCAGGCAAATTTCAAGCTCCTTAGCAGGTTTAGAAGATGCCTGTCCTGGCACCCTATCCTCCACACTCTCTCCTTCCCCTCCCAGCCCAGATATTCTTGCCACAGCTGAGCCCAAATTCTTTTTATTTTTCTGAGCACCTTGTGCTCTTTGAGGTCTCAATACTTTGTGCTTAATATCCCCTCTCCTTGGAACCACGTCTTCCCCTCCTGGCATGGAACCCCAGAGAGCTTGCTTTCCCTCAGGACTCACCTCAAACGTCCACCTCTGCAGAGCTTTCCCTGGCCTCTCTGGTGAGTGTGAGCACTGCCTTCTGCGCTTCCCCCACCTGCCTCCTCTGACAGAACTGAGTCCTCAGTTTGTTCACCTTCACCTTGTAGACATGACTGTCTCCCCATCCAGCTGTGAACTCCGTGACAGGCACAGATCAAGCTCCTTTCAGCTTGGATGCCAGGGTCTAACTCTGTGCCTAGCACTTAGGAGGTGGTTAATAAATGTTTACTTAATGAGCAGAGACTGGGATTAGAGGAAGGAAATGGAAGGACAGGGATGGATATGAATCTTCCATATTAAGAGGAGAAACCTGGGGGTAATTGGAAGGAATTCCAGATTATAAAGATGTGGATCTCAACCCTACCTGCGAGTGCTCCTTATAAATGCAGAGGATTGGGGCTGGGCCCAGCGGGGGCCAGGATCCTTACCGCAATGCCAGCCAAAGCAGATGTCTGCCTTTCCCAGTGTGTTGTTCCTTCAGACCACCAAAGGTGAGCTGTCCAAGCAACCTGAACCCCTCAGTGCCGGTGTATGGGTGGGGGGATGCTGGTGGGATGTGGCTTGGAAGTAAGGTTTTGTAGCATCTACCCAAGAGGGTCAGTGTGTATGATCTACAGCTCAGCTAATGAACAGATAGGCTAATTCCCCATAAAAATCCATGAAGCTCTTATATATCCATAGATAGAATATTATTCAGCCATAAAAAGGTATGATGTACTGATTCATGCCACATCACGGACAAACCTTGAAAACCTGATGTCAGTAAAAGAAAGCAGACACAAAAGACCACATATGTTTATTAAATTTATTGGGGTGACTGACATTGGTCAATAAGATCACACAGGTTTCAAGTGTAGATAGCCATAACACATGATCTACATATTGCCTCGTGTGCCCTCTACCCAAAGTCAAACCACCTTCTGTCACCATGTATTTTGGAAAAGTCCACATCTTGTATGACTCTATTTACATGAAATGACCAGAATGGGCAAATCCGTAGGGACAAGAAGGAGATTAGTATAGTGGTTGCCAGAAGCCAAGAGGACAGGAGCGTGAGAAGAGATTGCTGGTGAATATGGAGTTTATTTCGGATGATGAATATGGTCTGAAATTAGATCGTGGTGATGGCTGCACAACTTGGTGAATGTGTTAACTACCACTGAACTGCACGCCTTGAAAGGAGTTTAAATGGTATCTGAACTGTATCTCAGTGGAAAGAAATCGATGGAGACGCGTTGGCAGAAACAGCTGCGATGGAAGCAGTACCTCTGAGGCACCACAGGACATTCGGAGGCGCACTGTCCTGCTGTGCAGGAACTAGGGGACCCAAAACCTAACTTGCAATCGGAAAGCGGAAATGCAGAGCCCAAACAGGAGCTAAGCAGGCTGCTGAAGGGGGCACAGCTTCAGAGGCTCCCCCAAAGCCTTGCCGTCGGTGATAAGTGAACGTCGTATCCCACAAGACATAAGAGCCGAAGAGCTGTCAGCACAGCTACAAAACCCTGCGCTCAGCATAGCCCTGGGGAGCAAAGAATAAAGAACTTCTACCCCAGACAGAGTGACACAAAATACAACGCGGCCAAGGAGGCTTTCTCTTTGTACTAGAGGTTCTTTTTTAAATTTAATTTTTATAAGATTAAAACATTTAAAAAATATGTTTTCATTGATTTCAGGGCAGGGAGAGGGGGATAGAAACAACAAGGATGAGAATCATCAGTTGGCTGCCTCCTGCAAGCCCCTTGCTGGGGATGGAGCCTGCAACCCAGGCAGGCATCCTGACTGAGAATCAAACCATGACCTCCTGGTTCATGGGCCGATGCTCAACCACCGAGCAACACTGGCCAGGCTACTTTTTATGAGGTTTTTATAGAAATATAATATACCTGCAGAACAATGCACATAGACCAGATGTGCACAAGAAGTTCTTTGGCTTGTCTTGGGGATTTGAGAATGGCCTCTGACGGTTAAAATTCCAGCACAATGCCCAGGCAAGACTTGTCTAATGTAAGCTTCTTTGACAGGACGGATGTGATGTAATAGCATGAGCTCTTTTCTTTGCACTGTTCTCTCTGGGGGGCGAAAAACAGCAGCTCTGGTTTGAGGTTTGGCACAACGTCCATCAGTGGCCGGTGATGAGGCACAGCAGCTGGGGTCTCAGGGACTCTGGGCGGCCCCTGGGGGTCACAGTGAAGGATGTCACAGTGAGGCTCCCTGATAATCCCCCCAACCTGACTGTAAGGAAAGAGCAATAGGATGGAGGATAACTGAGGAAGAGTCACCATGCACTCCGCACAGCAAATGTAGCTGTGGCTGAGAGAACGCTCTCCCCAGGCGTTCTGTGGTCCTCGGACGGTGGGCCCAGGAGGGCCGACCCATCTGCTCTGCGGGGGGAGACCGCCTTCCGTGGGCTGTCCTTTCCCCAAAGAACTGTGCCGTGGCCTCTGAAGGTCTGCTCATGCCGGGCAGCCCAGGGCACCCCCCGAAGACCGACCCTTCATGCTTTCCCTGGAGCCCGCACAGCTAGAGGCAGCCCCTCAGGACTCTGTCTCTGGAGGGAGCAAGCACCCCCTCCTGTCCTTCCACTGGAGCCTGAGACCTTCCCAGGCGGGGCCAGAGCAGAGCAAAGCCAGACGCAGAAGCCGAGAGTCTGAGAAAATGCCTTCATGTGCTGCCTGACCCAGCATGCTGCTCTGTGAGGCAAACGGGCTGGGAGCAAACTTTAGACAGATTGGCAGAAACTCCAGACACACGCAGTGGATCTGGAAGAACAGATGATGGGTTGGAGAAAAATGGCCTCTCTTTCCCACAGACTGCGAGGCTGGGGGAAGCAGAGGGTGGTGCTTCCGGAGTCCCTGAGAAGGACCCCTGTCTGAGGGGAGGGCCAGGGTGACTAATACCCAGAGAAGCTTGGAGGGGGAAGGGCAGAAGAGCCGGGGCCCCATATTTCCTGGGTAAAGGCTGGGAAAGCTGTGCGTCTCTGCGGAGAGCAGGCCACGTGTTGTGCGTCTCAGCGGATGGGCCTGGTACCGCCCCACGGAGCTTCCTGAAGCCCAGAGGGTGAGGGCCAGGAAGGAGCCAGGATGCTCTTATGTCCCGGGAGCAGGCAGGCCAACGAGCTTCCTGGTAAGGAGAGAGGGCACCAACCAGGGGCCACGCCCACTGTGACCAACCCAGTGGCAGCCGCTGGGAGGGGGATGTTTTAGCAGGAGCTGGCCTGGACGGTCGATGAAGACTGAGGAACAGATTCTTATACTATTGAAAGCCTCTCCCCCCATCACCGGACTTCACCCCAGGAACAGTTGGAAGGGGAACCCCAAACTGACAGATTAATGTCTACCACCTGGTAAATGGGGCTTCCTCATGGAAATTACATTCCGTGTTAGAAAATTATTTTTTTTTTGCAGAACAGAGTTTATGGTGTGAGTTGTAGCCACTATGTATGTAACTAATATTTTCTTTATGGTTTTGTTATAAATAAAAGATGAAAAGGGCATTTTGGTGATAGGACACTCTGTGCACAAAAGAAACGCCGCTTGCAGTGTTTGCCAATTCTGCGTCTTCGAATTCATAAAGTTCAGGGATCTTGCCCCAAGATCAAATGACTTTAGCATTTTCTGAGCGAAACGTATAAAAGCTAAATGTATGGGCAGTCCTTTTTGTTTCTGTTTTCTCTATTATTCATGGCCAGTGACCTGAATACAGGGCCATCCCTGCGAACCCAAACACTGTCTGCAGGTGAGAGCTGAGGAGGAGAACAGAGGGAGGGCCACGCTGACAGGCAGTTCTGCAAATAACTGCTGCCCCCAGCAGTCCCGAAACGACAGTGCAGGGGCAGTAGGAGGTCAGAGGTTATCCGGGGGAAGAACAGCTGGGACTCTTAGGAGCTCCGAAGAATCCAGAGTCCCTGACTCTGCCCAGAGGCTGAGGGCTCCCAGCCAGACCCGGGTGGGGGAAGGTGATGTGGGCGGACAGGGAGCAGGGGGCCTTAGGGCAATCCCAGTGCCTCTGGTTCAGGGACCTCTAGGCTTGACTCAGCTGCATCATCCCATAGTGCACTGGGCATTCCCGAGGGCTTCTGGGAGAATGGTCAGGGCAAGGGCATTTGGGGAGGGCTGGAGAAGCCTGCGAGGAAAAGAGAAGAAGATGGTGACGAAACGGCCTCGGAGAGGAGGCTCTTTCCAATAGGGGAACCTCAGCCTGGCCCTTCACCGCCAAGTTGGCGAAATTTTCGTCCCAACCTTATGCCAACCCTTAGCAAACGCACTCCCAGGAAGAAGTCTGAGGTCACGTCGAATTTACTGAGGTATTTAGAAGCTCCCTCCTTTTCGCCTTAGTTCTCACTGAGCAGGGAAATTCCATTCATTCAACACATGTTTATTAACTTGCTTCCTTCAGTAAAGGAATGTCAAGCAGGTGGGAGTTGACTTGTGAGAGGGCAGGTTAATCCCCAGAGTGCCTGGCCTCACCTCACCTGCCCTTGTCTTTCTTTACCTGGGCCCTGTGCACCCCTCTTAGGCGGGGCCCTAGGACCCCAACTAAAGAGTGCCCGGAACAAAATGCCCGCCTGAGGTAGCTCAGTGGTTGAGCATTGACCTATGAACCAGGAGATCACAGTTCAATTTCCAGTCAAGGCACATGTCCGGCTGCAGGCTCAATCCCCTCTAGGGGGCGTGTAGGAGGCAGCCAATCAATGATTCTCTCATCACTGATGTTTCTCTCCCTCTCCCTCTCCCTTCCTCTCTGAAATCAATAAAATATATATATATATAATTTTTTTTAAAAGAATGGAACAAAGTGGTGGCCCCATGGTGAGTCCTGACACTCACAGGTTCCACAGGGCTGCTCAGCTGTGAGTTGGGCCACTCCCATCCTCAGGGGGCCTCCATCTGAGACCTGGGAGCCCGGAAAGCCCACAGGGCTGGTGCTGAGGCCAGAGGCCAGGGCAGAGCCTACCTGAACCAGAGTCGAACCAGCTAATGGGGGTGGGGGGAGATGAAGGCCGACGCCGGCTCCCTCATTGGCTCCGGCTGCGGAAGGTGGTCCGGGAATGAGGACTCAGTTGCTCTCAGGCACTGAGGGCCTCAATGCCGGCGGGGCTGAGCACCAGGGCCTGAAGGATGTCGGACAGGGACACCACGCCCAGGAGATGCTGGTTCTCATCCACTAGCACCAACCGGTGTACCTGTGGGCCCACAGAGGCTGGGTAAGGGGGCAGGGCACCAGTGAGGTTGGCATCAAGAATCAGGGGCATCCATGGAGATAACTGGGAGAGCAGAGAGTGCCTCTTAGAAACCAGGTAAGGCCCTGGGCTCTGTGTGGTCAGAGGGCTTGGCCATGGCACATGGGCCAATGGAGAGGACCAGCTGCAGACCCGAATGGACACCTGGAGCTTGGCCGTGAACTGGGAGGGCAGGGCAGGTGCTGGGCGGGCGGGAAGAGCTGGAGCAGCTCATGAGAAGGACTGTACCCGTGTGTTGGAGCGTGTACGAGGGCAGGGGTACCTGCTCCCGGACAATGCGGTCAATGACTTCCCCCAGGTTCTCTTCGGGCTGGCAGGAAAGGACTCCCTCCAGGCACAGCGTCCGCTGCCTCAGGGCCTCCCCCACGCTCATGTCCAGGTGGTTGTAAGTGTGCTGGGCGGCCAGGTGCTGGGCGGGGAGGGGAGGATCGCTCTTAGCCACCCCTTCAGCCAGGCTCCAGCCCGGCGGATATCTGCTGCTCACTCAAAGGGCCCCTGTTCTACAGACGCCTCTGATCCTCACACCCACAGCCTTCCTGCAGCACCCTCAGCTCCAGCCCTCCGCTCCCCACGGACACTTACGATCACATCGAAGCGGGAGTAGAGGCCCACGACCTGACCTGCAGGAGTGGCGGGTGGGGAGAGAGAGAGAGAGAGAGAGAGAGAGAGAGAGAGAGAGAGAGAGAGAGAGAGAGAGAGGGAGAGAGAGAGAGAGAGGAGAAGAGAGAGAGAGAGAGAAAGACAGAGAGAGAGAAACAGAGGAGAGAGAGACAGAGAGGGAGAGAGGGAGAGAGAGAGAGAGAGAGAGAGAGAGAGAGAGAGAGAGAGAGAGAGAGGTGGGGGGGAGACAGGGAAAAGGCTCAGATCAGAACCAGGATGCTGTGCGAGGGCTTGGGCTGGGCTTTTGGAATAAAGTCCTCGCTATCCACCCCACCCACCCTTAGATACTAGCTTTATCCTGAGGCATCAGGTGGCCACTGCCTGGGCCCAGATCACCTGCCAAACGCCTCCTGACACAGTGAGCACGCTGAGGCACCTGTGGAATGTCCTAGCCTGGGTCTGGGAGTCTTAGATCTATCTCCGGTTTAGCGGAAACAGGAATGGCGGGCCAGGCAAAGGCCACCTGTGGGAAGCAGACAGGCAGACTGGGGGTGGATGGAACATTCTATAGGACAACTGACCCAGGCTCTTCATCATCAATCGCATAAAAATTCAGTGGGGAGGGAACTGTTTTGAGTTGAAAGATTTAAAGGACAAAAGGAGCAAAACATAGGCCTTAATGGACCCTGGTTTGTACAGATCAGCTGTATGTGTTTGTTCTTGGGGAAAACAGGGAAATGAGAATTGGAATGGGATATTAGATAATGTTAATAAATTACTTATAGTTTTGTTAGGTGATAGAGGAAATATTTTAAGAAATGTTTAGGTGTGAAATGGCATGATGTCTATAATTTTATTTTAAATTACTTCAGGAAAAGAACTGATTATGGCAATATGTTAACTGTCAATCTAGGCAATGGCTAGATTCATGCATTTGAAATTTTTCATAATAAAAAATAAATTAGAATACTTCTTGATATGTAGCTTCATTGTGGCAATTTAACTTTTAAATCATTTATAACCATGGTTTGCCAAAGAAGTGGTCTTGCAATTTCTCTGACTCTTTTTCAGAGTAAGAAACTGAGGTCTAACAAGGTGCCATGGCCCATTTTAGGGTTAATTAAAATGAAAAACCTTATCTACTATTTCCTCTCATTATGTTCATTTGATGGCACATAAACCTTTAAAAATCGTCCTTTGGCCCTAGCCGGTTTGGCTCAGTGGATAGAGCATCAGCCTGTGGCCTGAAGGGTTCAATTCCAGTCAAGGGCACATTCCCATATTGTGGGCTTGATCCCCAGTAGCGGGAGTGCAGAAGGCAGCCAAGCAATGATTCATCACTGATGTTTCTTTCCCTTCCCTCTCCCTTCCTCTCTGAAACCAATAAAATATGTTGAAAAATAAAAAAATAAAATCGTCCTTTGAAGTCACAAGATGGGTGTTAAGATGCCCATTTTATACATGAGGAAACTGAGGCACAGAGAGGCCAAGTAACTGGCCCAAGGCTCAAAGCAGGCAGAGGCGTCTGGCCCAGACTCCACCCCGGGCCCTGAGCTGCTGCCACACAGACCTCTGCCCGTCGTGGCCCCCGACCCCCACCCTGTCCTGGGGCATACCCTCCTCGTTGAGCACGGGCAGTGCGGACACCTGCCGGTCCACGAAGATGTCCAGGGCGCTCAGGATGGGCGCCGTGTCCAGCACCACGGCCAGGTCTCGGAACGTGCCGATGCCCAGGTCCTGGATGGTTCGCTGGAGGAAGGAGGGCCGGGGCAGCAGGTCGCCCTGGTTGGGTCGGGAACAGGGGGTGCCGTCAGGGGGAGCAGCCTCCAGGCTGCCCCCTTCCCGGTGGCCAGGCTGCCCCGGGCTCACAAAGATGTGCAGGAACTTGAGCAGCCGCTTGTGCGTGATGATGTGGAGCACGTCGCCCGACGCCGGGTCCAGGACCGGCAGGCGGTGGATCCGGTTCTTGATGAGGGTGTAGACGGCTTCAAAGAGGCTGAGGGGTGGGGACAGCGAGCCTGAGGCGGCCTGGGGGGCCTCCCCGATGAGAGGCGTGCTCAGGACGGCGGGGTGGGAAAGGGGACTGGGTAGAGCAGGGGGCTCAGGGGTGGGTGGGGACGCTTACCTGTCGTTGGGAGAGATGGAGACCAGAGGCTTGATGCAGCCCTGAAGGTAGATCTCTGAAGAACAAGCTGAGTCAGGCCGACGGAGCCGGCTCCCCTCCCAGTGCCTCTCCGCCCTCAGGCCCCCTGGCTCCCCGTCCCCCTTCCTCCACCTCATCCAGGAACCCCCACCGCCCACCCTCTCCCATGCCCCTCAGCCCCTCTCCGGTCCCCTCGGCCGCTCACCCCTCCAGGTCTCAATCTTATGCTCTTCGATCTCGTAGATCTGGACCTGGAGACACAGACCGGCCTTCGGAAGTCAGACACAGCCCTGGGGCACCGGGGTCCCGAACCCCCCGCCACCAGCCCAGGCGGTGCCCGCTGGGCTCCAGCCGCTCCTCACCAGCGGGGACCTGTAGTAGCGGTGCAGCACCAGGATGAAGTCTGTGATGGTCAGCATCCCTGGGGGGGCGGGCATTGGGGCATCAGCCTGGGGCCTTTGGCGGGAGGCAGGGTGCGGGGCCAGACTCCCCTCCTGGCCCTCCCCTGTCCTAGTGCTGAGGCAGCGGGGGGGGAGGATTGTGGGAGGAGGGGAGGAGAACAGCCCTCCTGTGCCTGAGGGACGGGTTTCTCTCTTTATTCTCCAATCTCTCTCCTCCCCCCTCCTCCTTTCCTGTTCTCCTAAGTTCTTCCTTTCCCTTTCCTGGTTTTCTACCCAGCACTTAGGACCCGGGACCCCGGGGCCATCGTGCTGGAGAGGCCAGCTGGCCGCTCCTCCCCAGATGGGAACACTGAACGCAGAACCACCACGCAAGGTCCGTCCTCGGAGGGGCCTCCCCAGCCCTCTGCCTCCAGGCCCTCCTCACCCACAAAGCTCTGCTGCTTGCTGTCCCACAGGGGTGCGGCCCGGACGCCGTTGGCCACCAGGGCGAAGAAGGCCTTCTTGATCTGAGGAACAGGGAGAAGCCGGGGTGAGTCTCCCGGGGATACCCGTCCCGACCGGGCTTCCCTGCTCACAGGCCCCTCCACACCGCCAGCCTGCCTCTCTCACGTCCCTGCCGGGGCGTTTGTTACAGAGATACGGCTGCTGGCGGCCAGAGGACGGGGTGATCCCCTCCCCAGGCACCAGGGGGGGAACAACCGTGTTCCCACTCAGAGGTCACGTGTGCACAGGCGCACACGGTATACTTTTGCTGATATAAGTACCAGAGGTATAGTTATTTTGTGGATTTACAAAATGCTTTTACCTAAATAAATTTTACACCGACTCATTTTTTTGGCCTTCCCTAAGCAATGCTATCTAAACGTGCTGGTTGTATTTCTAATGCATATGAACATAAACACAAAGCTGCTAAGATAAATATACCTATTCACAAGTCCCTAGAGTCAAACCATGTACTGTGGGTGGCACGCATGCCCTGCTTTTGGAAACACTGCTTCGCCACACGTGATGCTATGGGTGGAATTGTAGGCACGTGGTAGCTCAGCCAAAGGGCCAACACGGGCCAGAGCTCATCCTGTTTATCTGGTAGGAAAGTCCCCCGCCCTGTGTCCCAAGCCATCCGGGGATATCGTCCACATCGCTCAGGGTTTGTAAAGTGTTCCCACCTCTCCTGGGTGGTCCTAGGAGTCCTTTGCATTCCCACCCCCATTGCGGAGCTGAGAGAGGTAATGTGGCTGGCCCGGGACCCCAGGGTGCTGAGGGCGGAGCTGTGATGACAGCTGGGGTTGCTCACAGAGGAGCAGCCCTCCCTGGTCTCCAGGGTGCTGAGGAGGAGCTGGGAGGGGACGCTGGGAGGCTGGCCTGGCTCGGGGTCCTGGAGGGGGTGTGAGTGGGGTGCCCCCCAGAGGATGGAGCGGGCAGAGCGGCGGCCTCACCTGCAGGGCGGTGTCGAAGATGACCAGCTTGGAGCTGGTTGCCATGGCGTCGTAGCAGGTGTGCTTCTGCATGAAGTGCATGTAGACCTGGGCTCCGGGCTTCTGCAGCTCGTCGTCCCAGCCCTGCCTGGGGAGTGGGGCCTGCGGGGAGGGGCACGGGGCAGGCCTCTCTCCCGCCAGGCCGGGCTCGGGCCCGCAGGCCGCCGTGGCTGGGAGCTCTCGGCCGGAGCCGGTGGCTGAGATGGCGCACTCGGAGGGGAGGACGTCCCAGGGAGCGGCCTGGGCCAAGGGTGTGGCCGTGGGGAATGTGGACTCCAGCCCAACGGGCTCGGCAGCTGGCCTGGACGGGGGCCCTGCGTGAGGGGGAGAGGACAGCAATGCCATCATCCAAAACGCCTTGTGCTGTGCCGCCTCAGTTTACCCTCAGAGCAGCCGTGGGAAGCCTGGATGGCGGGGGCCCCATTTTGCAGATGAGAAAGCTGAGTCTCAGGGAGTCACATGGCCTCACAGGGTTTCTGTCCCGCATAGCCCATGCGGAGAACTGGCTCTGCATGGGCAGTTCTCTCCCATGTGGGGAGACTGAGGCTGAGAGACCAGGGTTGGGCCCGACGCTGTGTTTTGGAAGAATCAAGGACAAACCCAGGCCCAGGCTCTGGGGCTTCACACTGCGTGCACCTGCCCCCCGCCCCCCCGCCCCCCATCCTCCCTGGGACTGGCTTGGCCTCACCTTCCCCCAGGCCGGGGAGGTCCTCTTCCTCCACAGCCTCCTGCCGAGTCCATCTGGAGGCCCTGGCCCGCCGCCTCCTCCGGCTCCTCTCTGCGAGGGTGGTCCCGGCGGGGGACGGCCACGGGGCGCTGTCTCCTTGCTCCAGGAAGCTCATCTCTGGAACAGGGAGGGGCCTGCTTGGTTAGCAGGGAATCACATGGCAGGATCCATTAAAATATCACAATAGTGGTGTTTAATATGTGCAAGCTCTCAAAGGGCTTTCGCCAAGATCTCTCATCCAAACCTCAGAGCGAGACTAGAGAGGTTAGACAGTCTGCCACAAGCACACAGCTGGTCAGTGGTAACGTCGGGACCAGGGCCTGCGTCTTCAGACTCTGGGTCCACCGGCTCTTCCTTTGGAAGAGGAAGGAGCAGGTGAGGGAAAGGAAGAAGAAACAAAGAACAAACAAAGAAAAGGGGAGGCAGACGGAAGCCAGGCTGGTGGAGGGGTGAGACTGGGGCCCGGAGAAGAGAGACGGGGCCCCCCAGGAGGGGACTGCCCACCTACCTTGGTGCTGAGAACTCACACGGCTGCTCCAGGACGGGCTCTGTGGGGAGAAGAGTGTCTGAAGGGCTGAGAAAATGCCCCGCGTTCTGGAGCACGGGTCCTTCCCTTCCCAGGGTGCACACGTAAACACATATACACATGCACCTCACAAACACGTACACATGTAAACAAACACTCACCCCGCAAACACACACAAACACACACACCCATACACACAGACACAGATACTAACACACACTCAGAAACAAACAAATGCAACCATTCCCAGGTACACTGACTTATATTAATACGAAGAATATATACACACAGATACCCACATGCTCTCTACTGAGAAAATCCAGGTCTCTCTCACACACACACACCCGCACACGCGCACACGCGCACACGCGCACACGTTCACACAGAGTGCGTCTTCCCCCTCGCGGCCTCCCCGGGACCCCGGGACCCCGGTACCGTGCGCAGTGAGTGCTCCAGTTCGGGCTCCATGGGGCCAGAGGGGCCTGCGGAGAGCGAGTGCTGGCCGCGGTGGCTGGGCAGCACTATTCTGGGCCTGGCCCCTGGCAGCCCGCCCTCCCATATCAGCTTCCCTCTGGGTGTCAGGCAGCTGGGAGGGAGGGAGGGGTCCACGGCTCAGCTGCTCCAGCCCGGCAGCCTGGGGGCAGGGTGAGAGCACTGGAGCAGCCTGGAGTCTGTTATCTGGTCCCTGGCCGCCTTCTAGATCTCCGAGGACCAGCAGGAAGGCCCCTGCGGGGTGTGTGTGTGTGTTGCGGGGAGAGGAGGGGTGGCTTGGAGCAATGTGAGGCACTGGGGGTAGGAAGTGGGTTCCTCCTCTGAGAGCCTCTCTCATCTTTGTCAGATGCCAAACGAAGAAAAACAGAGGCGGTTGAGCTTACCTCTCTTCCTGGTACCAACTCCAGTCAGGGCAGTTGCAGCCAGCTAGCCGGGAGGCTGGGGACATAGGGGTGGTGGCCAGTATGTGCACGGATGTCCCCGTGTGAGTCCCGGGAGTCTGCCCCCTCTCTCTGGTGGAGGATGGGAGGGTTCAGGCAGGTGGGAACCTGTGAGGATCCTCTGGAGGGTGTGCCAGGGCTTAAGGGCTTGGGATCTGCCCCTGTCCGCAGAGGGAGAAACACCTGTTCCTGCCTGCGTCTGAAGGTGAGGGCAGGTGTGCAGCAGCCCAAGGCCCTCCTCCTGCTGGGTCTCCTGTCTCCACATCTTCTGGTACCAACAGGGTCCCAACCTGGCTCTGGTGGCTGCCCACCCCGCTTCCCTGGCATTCCTGGGGTCCGAGTCAATGTCCAAATCAGGAATGCTGACCCAGTTGCTCTAGCTCCCCTCTCTCTGCCCCTCCCTTCCTCTTTTTCTTTCCGTCTCTTCCATCTCAGTCTCTGGCCCTGGAGCGGACACTTGCTGATGGATTACTGCATTTCTTGCCGAATTCATTGAATGTATTTCCCATCGTCCCTCAAAGCCCCTGGCCTGCCCGAGGGTAGGGGTGGGGGAGAACACAGCAGGGAAGGGACTGTGCCCATCCATGTGTGTCTTGGATAGTGCAGTGGTGAGGGCACTCTCCTTCCACAGAGTCCCTGACAGATGATGGGACTTCTAAGGTGCAGCTGACGGGACACCTCAAATGGCAGAGAGATCAAGCGGGCCGTCCCTGCAGGTATCTGAAGCACCCACCAGGCCACCCACCAGGACAAGCCAGACACACGTCAGCTCACACCATTCCCTTCTCTTGCAATGCTCCGTCGTCCCTCCACATCAGACCCGGTTTACCTACAGGACCGGCCAGGAGACTCATCGTGTCTTCCCTGATTGCATCCCCCTCACTGCAACGGTCTGAGAGTGAGAGTTCCGTGGATGCATCTCAGCGAGCAAAGGACCCGCCTTTACATAACGAATCACATGCAAATACCTTTTATCTCCGAGTAAACAGCGGGCACCTTGGTGATCAAACTTGTTGGCTGGACGTGATGCAAAGCCGGTTTGGGGGCCCGGTGGACCTGATGAAATGTATGCTCTGCCGTCGGCTGGCCCTGTGACCCAGGCAAGCATCGCTCACTTTCTCCCCACTGTTCCCACAAATGGAAAATGGGGATAAAAACATGAGGTGGCAGAGGCCACCAGCTGCCTCCCAAAATCTGTTTTCCTTTCTTCCTTCAGTGATAGGATCACTTGAATTTTAGCTGGAATGGCTGCCTGTTGTAAACGCAGGTTCCCACCATCTTGCAGCTAAATATGGCCTGGTGGCTAAATTTTGCCAGTGACCTAGACGAGTGAAAGTGATGTGAGCAACTTCCAGGTCAGGCCTTACAAGAAAGAAACATGACTTCTCCTCTTCACCCTCTGCTGACTGGAAAGCTAATGCGATGGCTGGAGTTAGAACAGCTATCTTATACGCATGATGAAAGATGTTTATTAAGGGTTTCAGAGTCACCCTACCAGGGTTGGATTGTCTATAAACTCTTATAAGAAAGAAATATAAACGTTCTTCAGTCATTTAAATTGGGTCTTGGAGCCCTAGCCAGTCTGGCTCAATGGATAGAGTGGGCCTGTGGACTGAAGGGTGCTGGGTTTAATTCCGGTCAGGGCACATGCCAGTAGCAGGCTTGATCCCCAGTAGGGGGCGTGAAGGAGGCAACCAATGATTCTCTCTCATCATTGATGTTTCTATCTCTCTTTCCTCTCTGAAATCAATAAAAATAAAAATGAAAAAGAACTCCAGAGGGCCTAGTCCTAGAAGTTCCCCACACTCAAAAATATAAACACAGCCCTAACCGGTTCGGCTCAGTGGACAGAGTGTCGGCCTGCGGACTGAAAGGTCCCAGGTTTGATTCCAGTCAAGGGCATGTACCTTGGTGTGGGCACATCCCCAGAAGGGGTTGTGCAAGAGGCAGCTGGTCGATGTTTCTCTCTCATCGACGTTTCTAGCTCTCTATCTCTCTCCCTTTCTCTCTGTTAAAAATCAATAAAATATATTTAAAAAATATATATAAACATAGCCCTAACCAGTTCGGCTCAGTGAACAGAGCGTCGGTCTGTGGACTGAAAGGTCCCAGGTTTGATTCCAGTCAAGGGCATGTACCTTGGTTGTGGGCACATCCCCAGTAGGAGTGTGCAGAAGGCAGCTGATGGATGTTTCTCTCTCATCAATGTTTCTAACTATCCCTCTCTCTTCCTCTCTGTAAAAAAAAGTCAATAAAATATATTAAAAAATAAATAAATAAAAAGGGTCTTTGTAACAACCAAACATATACTAACTAATGCAAACTTTGGTATCTGGAAGCAGCACTGCTTTAAAAGCCTAAGACAAGTGTCATTGGTTTAAAGAATGGACAGAAGAAAGCAAAGAAAAATATTGTATGCAGGTAAGCTGGCGACCATTGTTATGTTACAGCAAAACATAGGACAAGTCTGTCATCTGTGATCCCTTGAAAGGTAGAGCATATGGAAACACTCATGGAAACTGGGCAGAAACACTGAGATTGCTGGTGCGTATTGGCTGCTGCTTGCTGCTACAAGCAAAGTCCTACAAGACAGATGTGTTCAGGCTAGTTCTGAGAGGTAGTTTGGAGCAGGCAGGCCTAACAAGGGCTGTATCTGTGGTCCCAAATCTTCCTCAAGCTCACCCTGCTTAGCAAACAGTGCAAGCTGGCTCAGTGAGCAGAATGAGGGAGTTGCCTTCACAGCCAAGCATATTTGTTTCAGCTGGCCTCGAGATAGCCACCAGCTGTGAGAGAAAGTCTAGGAAGCACACCAAGTCCAGCATATTCAAGCATAAAAGTGATCTCTATACGAGAGGCCCAGTGCATGAAAATTCAGACACTGGAGGGGGGGGTCCCTCAGCCTGGCCTGCCCCCTCTCACAGTCCAGGGGCCCTCGGGGGCAGGAGGTGACCTGGCGATCAGGAGAAGGTGACACCCCATCACACCTCTGCTGCTGCCACTGCCGGCAGCACTAGCATCAGCTGGCCCTGGTTACCTGAGCCTCGGGTGCTCCTGGGTGGCTGGGCAAGGGGTTGGTTTCCCTCTTCCTGCTGACTGGAAGTAAGATGTGATGTGGGAGCTGAAGCAGCCGTTTGAACCTAATGGTGGAAGATGCAAGTTGAACATGACAAGAACCTCCCACCCTTGTGCTGGCCTGCCTGCCTACCTACCTCTGGACCACTGTGTTAGAAGGAGAAATAAATTCCTATTTGGTCGAAGCCACAGACCACTGGAACCTTTGCTACAGCAGCCAAACCTCTTTAAGCAATGCCTTTGCACCGCAGGGTCAGGGTAGGATTAGAAATTACAAGTGCAGCCAGAACCGGTTTGGCTCAGTGGATGGAGCATCGGCCTGCGGACTGGAAGGTCTCGGGTTCGATTCTGGCCAAGGGCATGTATCTTGGTTGTGGGCACATCCCTGGAGGGGGGTGTGCAGGATGCAGCTGGTCGATGTCTCTCTTTCATTGATGTTTCTAGCTCTCTATCCCTCTCCCTTCCTCTCTGTAAAAATCAATAAAATATATTTAAAAAAAGAAAAAAGAAATTACAAGTGCAAAGAATGATGCTTCCCGTTTATGCAGCGCTTACCATTGTGCGCAGTATCCCATGCAATCCCTGACAATCCTATGTGGTTAATACTTTTATCATTATGGTTTTACAAGTGAAAAATCAGGCCACCAAGAGATTAAGTAACTTGGTGAAAAATCTCAAACCCAGTGTTGCTGGACTCCTGCATCACTCTTTCAGCCATGAAGCTTCATGTAAATAAAGCACAAGCCTGCCATGCAGTATATGCTCAGTAAGTGGTTACTGGAAGGATTTCCTTGCCACCTGCTTCCAGACCTCCAGCTTTGAGGCTCTGAAGGTGGGCAGCACGAAGAAGTGGGTCTTTACTAGTCATCTTGTGGTGGCATCAGGGTGGGACAGAGGAGGGAGCTAGCTGGGGACAGACACCAGCGCTGCTCAACACTAAAATCATAGCGGTTTTCTGGTCGTCTGCCCTGCCTCGGCCTTCACCTCTCACAGCTCCCACGCTGGCTCTTGCTGCCATCCCAGCCCCCTCACCCTCTTGGACGGGGCAAATCAGCAGAAGGCACTGGCTTTGGTTGGGAAGCAAATGCTCCCTGGGTGTTCGGTTTTAGTGTCTGGTCGTGGTATCTTATTTCTTGGAACCCCGTTTCTTGGCTTGCTCTCAGAGGAGATGTGATAAGAACACTGCCTCCTGACCCTGGGTGAATTTGGCTGCCATCTCTGGATAGCTTATTTGTCTGGAACATGGGGTCGGGATCCTCCGTAAGTATTATTTTTATATCAGAGAAAGAAAAACAGCTTGAGAAGGCCAGCAGAGTAACCTGGACGAGACCCCTTACTGGTATGTTGTAAATGGTGTCCCCTGTGCCAGAGTGGCTGGGAGGGCAGCCGTCATATCAGTCTCCGGACACTCCAGCTCCTGTCCTATCTGTGTGGCTGAAACTAACCAGGGTGCTGACAGTGTTCTGAGCACCTAAACAGACTCAGAATCTTGTTAATGCCGTTTAGTCTGCCTCACCTTACTGAGCCCTTTCCTGTGGGCTGCTGGAAATGGAATGGACAAATGGTGCTTTGATCTACTCAGTATCTATTAGACCTCCTCATGGCAGCCCTCCAAGGAACCACAAGCCCTTCAGGGAACACAGTTCCTCCAATCTCAGAGCACATGGTTTTCCAAAAGGCTTAGCTATGGGTTCTAGGAAATA